TCCTGTAGTGGGAATTTGGTACTTCTTTTTCTTTATCTTCCTGGCCCTCTTCTTCCTCATGGAATTCTTCATGGCCCAGATTCGGCATAAGCAGATCAAGGTCAAATCAGTGGAGTCAGTGGCAGGTGAAGTGGAGGAGGGCTCCATGGTGGGAATCCAGGAGCATATCCCCTCTCCGAAGAAGTCCATCCTGAATTTCCACCAGGAGAAGATGCTTTTGCTTTTGTACCTCCTTTACTTCCTCCTGCAGGTTGGCACACAGTGTGTGCTTTTGTTCCTTCTCATGTACCAACACCTGCCACTGGTGAGCCAAGCCATTATCCACTGCAGAACTGATAGCTGCCCTGGACCCTACCTCTGCCTGATCCGGGGGACCATGGAGAAGCGGATGTCCATCTACACCCTCATCACCTTGTCCTTCATGATCATCCTCTTCTGCTCAGGTTTCTTCATGTATAGTATCCATCATTACCTGTTAAAGGGGCATTCAAGTGCTAAGTTTTGGCTTGACTGATATTTGGAAGTTCTTACTGAGAGTCTTTCCTCCTTCACACTAGGAAGTTTGTGTTCCTGTAAACATTGTGTCTGAGGGAAGGTTTCCTCCTGTTAACCTGCTTTGCTTTCCTCCTTCATAAAATAAACATTTGTTGTTTTCTTCCTCTATAGCCAGGCTCAGGTGGTCCAACTGTGGGGTGGGTAGGACGCACTTGGTAACATTTCATTGTTCTTTCACACGTGCTATCTAATTTGGTCCTCACTAGAAACCTGTGGCGTTGAACTTGCTACTTCATTCTTCCAGTATCTTTAAATCAGGATGAGTTTCCATTGTCTTACAACAATGAGCTGTAAAGAGTAAGAAGGGGTTGACTGACTTGTGCTCTGCCTCCCCAGTATTAGTTGTAAATAAAGAGAAGATAATTCTTCTCTACAGGAAAACCTTCAGTAGGACTTACAGGGCAGACTCCCCAAGCTCCTAGGTGTGGGCCCAGTCTTGCTACCTCACTTGAGTCTCCAGTGAGGACTGAATAAGTCTGAACAAGTCTTACTAGGGAGAGGATATGTGTGGCCAGGGTGAGAATAAGTTTCGATGGAAGCAATGCACTGGGTGTGACTGTGCCTAGAAAGGTGCCTCACTCCCAGACCTGACCTATTTTGAGATATGCTAAAACCCAGTTCAGGTCCCCATGTAGGTTACTAACCTTGCTTTGGGGCTCCCTGCTGAGTCTTACTGTCTGTAAGTACAAGGCAGCTTGACTAGATATGACTAAAGCTCTTCACATTTGGGGAGGGGCAAAGGTGGGGGTCAGAATGACGATGTTACAGAGAAAGTATAGCTGTGTAAATCTATCATCCTCAGAAGCAAGCTCCCTCCAGGGGCTCAGTGTGAGATGTGGAGCAGAGGGCACTGTCAGGGGCCCTGTCCTGAGGCTGCCTGTGGCAGACAGACCCCAAGGTGACCCCCATGATTTTCTGCCTTCTGGTGTCCATGCCTTTGTGTAATCCCTCCCTTTTGAGTGCACACGGGAACTGAAAGGTTGTCATTGCTGTGACTGTGGTATTATGTAGAACTCCATTTAAGCAGGCTAGACTTGCTTGGTGGCTTTGAAAGGAGTAAGTTTCCATGTTATGAGCGGGCCTACGGAGATAGATGCATGGCAAGGGATTGCAGGGATCCTCTTAGAGCTGAGAGTGGCCCCCAGCTGATAGTCAGCAGGGAAATGGGGCACTGAGTCATGTAAAGGAATTGAATTCTGCCAACAAAGTAAGTGAATTTTGAAGTGGGTTCTTCCCCAGTCAGGCCTGCAAATGAAAACACAGCCCAGTTTATCCCTGGATTTCATTTATGTGAGACCATGAGTGGAGTACTCATGCCTGGGCTCCTGATCCAGAAACTGTGAGATAATCGATGTGCGTGAAGGGCCAGGCTAGGGGTGGAGCTGGCAGCCACAGAGCCAGGGCAGGGGAACAGCTTGCTGGAAGTGGCCTTAGTCTTGGAGGGGGGGGCATTGGGATGGTCAGAAAGAACTTGACCTTTGACTGCAGTGGAGACTATGTCAGAGGCCACCACAGAAGAAGTCAGTGCCTGTGGTTGCTGGGGCCACAGTGGGCAGGCGGCCATACTGGTAAGTGGCAGGCTGGGGCAGCGGACTGGGCTTGGGGCTCACTACCTCCCCATCAAGGCTTCCCATGGCGGGTTGTGTGAGGGCTCAGCAGCCTCCCCTCCACACCTCAGTACTGCCTGGTCTATCCCACCTTCCCCACAACTCCGGCCCTCTTTGAGCCACTTACTTGTGGTTTGCCACAGCCATAGACACCCCCTCCTTGCTCCATTCTCTCATGTTAAAGGTTTCCTCCACTTGATCCCATGGAAGGGTTTTTACCTCTTGATCAAGGTCCTGTGCATTCTGTCTGGGATAAGGAAAAAAACTCTGAAGGACTTTGGCTTGATTTTGTTTTGCAGGATCCTGTTCAAGCTGGGGTGCCTACACCAGCCATCTCTGGAACCGGGAATCTAAGGCAGAGAATACTTCACTAGCAGGCTCCCTGAAGAGTGGAAGGGTAATGAATTCGAAAACTGGCATGGGGAGAGGGGTGGCCTATTTCAAACAAATAGCCTTTCTCCAAGGGATCTCAATTTTAATTTACAGTCACCTATTTTCTTTTCATGTTTCCTGGTACAAAAATAGTTGACCTTTTGTTTACCTCCTGATGAGCACTGCTGAGAGATTCTTTAATTTTTCAAACACTAAACAAAGCAGTCTAACTTTTGAGGATTTATATAGTGGAAAAAGCAGAGATATAGTCAGGCATCAAGGGACTCTGATTCTGTAGGCTTCTCTCCTATGATGTGAAGGGACAGAGAGTTGAATTGGGTAATTTTTATGGCCCTGTACAGCACTTTACCATTCAGTGATTCTCAAAGATAGTGATTTATCACTTGCATACTAAATTTCAGGCACTTGTCTAAATACTCAGTTACTTCATTTCAGCTTCATTGTAACCACAAGATAACAATTGTTATCCCAATTTTACAGATGAGAAAACTGAGCCCATGGGTTAAGTAATTTTCCCTGATTTTTTATTTAGAGCCAAAATTCATCTTATTGCTGTAAGGATTATGCTTACATGTTGGCATGTAGCCAAATACTTAGTTAGACAGACATGAACAGAGCAAGGATGATGGGCCAGGTACAGAAACTCACCAGGGTAGAAAGCCTTGGATGCCGAGCAAGGGGCAAAACTGGGAAAACAAGAACCTCACCCCCAGGGTAACCTATCCCCCCCTAGCATATCGCTGGTCAGTCAGTTTAGACCCCTGAGCATTTCCTCCCAAAGATAACATCTAAGCCTCAGTTGTGTTTCAGCTCCAAGCCCAGAAAAGCAGCAAAACCAGATAAGTGATGCAGTGGCTGCCTCAGGAGCAGCTACATTGACTAACAACCCCCTGACCTGGCACTGACTAATTGGTGGAGACCACTATCCAGAAAGAGCATACCTGGAAAGCTGATTAATATTCTATTAAGACCCTTCTGTATGATTTTTGCCTGCAAGAAAAAGATAAATATGCTCAGGACAAAGGACCCAGAGTGCACAATCTCCCTCAGGGGAGCATGCCAGCACCATTCCCTTTCCTCTTCTTGCCTCTGAGGGACCCAATGAGACTTGCAAACAGGGGAGCAATGGGCAATGACAACTCATCCCGGGCTAACTCCCTGAACCTGTCTCCAAGATCCCCTTCTTTCTCTGACTTCTCAGTGAGCCAAAGCAGCCCAGCCTAGGCTCTCCTATTGCTTCTTCTATGCTCTTCCTGGTCTCACTGTCCCAAGTATATTTTTGCTGCCATCATAGACCCAATACCCTTTGGCTCAGTGCTGTGTAGCCCTTCCCTTTGCATGTCCCCGAGCCATCACCCCTTTTCCTTAAATAAATTCAATTTTTCTTTACTCACTGTCTGAGATTGCTATTTAGCTTGCCTATGCACCACCAACTTTAACCTTTCAGACGTCTTTCAGCTTTGGATAGAATGAAATAATTTTACAGCTCTAAGGAACTTTAAGTAGAATTAGTACCAGTCCCCTAATTTTTCAATTAAAGAAATCAAAACCTAGAAAGTGTCTTAACCTCTAGTAATGTTTGTATGTAAGAGGATATGTTCTATTTTTTACATTTCCTAGCAGTTGCTTAACTAAAAATTGAAGTTGCATTTGCTCATTTCAAAATAATGTGGTGTTTGGTTGACATAAAGATTTATTCAGAAAAATTTTTATTTTTTGTCAGATGTAATACTTCTTTTTTGTGGTATAGTAGAAACATGAGTTATAACAAATTGGTAACATCACTACCTCTTTCAGCTGGAACATTGCCTCAGGAAGATCTTATCAAGTTTGCCAGGAGCAGATGATGTTAATACAGAAAGCTAAATCAAGATGTACAGATAGCCCAGCCCGGCATGGCTCAGCGGTTGAGCATTGACCTAGGATCCAGGCAATTGGGGTTTGATTCCCTGTCAGAGCACATGCCCGGGTTGCGGGCTTGATCAATGACTCTCTCCTCATTGATGTTTCTATCTCTCCCTCTCCTTTCCTCTCTCTGAATCAATAAAGATATATTAAAAAAAAAAAAAGATGTACAGGTATTGGGTTGAAAATATTGAAAATATTCATCTTGACCACAGTATCATTTCATCAAGGTTAAAAATTAGTTTTTAAAAAAAAATATTACACTGGCTTGTTTTATTTATCAGTTAATCCAGTAAAATCTTAGTGTACTGGAATCTGTTATTACTTAACATTCTAACCATTTGCCTCTAATTTTATTTTATTTTATTTTTAATATATCTTTATTGATTTCAGAGAGAGGAAAAGAGAGGGAGAGAGAGAGATAGAAACATCAATGATGAGAGAGTCATTGATCAAGCCAGCAACCTGGGCATGTGCCCTGACCTGGAATCAAACCCCGATCGCCTGGATCCTAGGTCAACGCTCAACCGCTGAGCCATGCCCAGCTGGGCTGCCTCTAATTTTAAAAATTATATCTCTAAATTGAAGTTTTTGAATTGTTAAAGTAACAGAGGAAGATTTATAAAACAATTTGGTAAAGTTAAGTACTTTTTTTGAGTTTTCAAATATGATTTTATTTTATGAATGGAGAGTCATATTCCACTGCCTTAAAAACTTGAGGCAGTTTTTCCAAAATACAAACAAAATAAAGATACACAATGAAGAAACACCACCAGGAGGCTCAGAGATAACTTACAGTTTCTTTATAAAAAACTATTAAAAATTATGGGCAATATGAATGTTTATATATACAAAAATACTAGAATAAGGGAAAGAGAAATATTCAGACAATTTCCTGACTATTGAATCAGAGTTTCTATTAATAGTACCTTTATCTCCCATATTATTTATGTTTTAAATGTTCCAAGGGAAAATAGGATACAAAAATTTCAAGGTGTTATAGACTTCACCTTTAAATCAATTAATCACATGCAGAGCTTAAAGTTATATTTTACTATCTATTCTAGGACTGAGAGCTAGAATAATAAATCATGGTTCTGGACTCACGTGTTCAAGATCTTTAGCATCTACTCCTGTTATGCATACCAGCTTAACCTCAGTTTTCTCTCCTGAACTCCAGAACAACCACCAAAGAAACATGTGGAGGAACTCTCAAGCTCTTCTTTATGCCTTGTTTCGTTTACAGTTCTGGGGTTGCCCAGACAGCACGGGTGGTGATAATAGCAGTGAAGAAGTCATGTTTGCCATTTCAAAACTTTTTATCGTTGTCAGACTTTGGGTAAGGCATCTACTGTTTGGTGCTTTCAGTGCTTCCAGGGGCTCTGTAGGGCTTGACAACATCATTGAGGCACTAAAGCACTTCACATGAAACAGGAATAAGAAAAGACTTTTGGGTTGATATGTGATGGCTACATCTTTCTGCGTTGGCCTTGTTCCAACACCTGCTGTGTATTCCAAGATTGAAATACTTTGCCATCACTATGGATTTGCATCTGAAACAAAGGCCTGTTTTGGGGGTGAAAGAATTATACTATTCTCCTAAAGCCCGGTCCTGACTTCATTACAGCATGTCCAGTAGAGCCTAAAATTCTAACTGAGGGGTCATTCTGGTAGTCCTGGAGGCCCACCTTCCTGAGGTTTCTCATTTGGAAATGCTTGTGCCTAGTCCTGTAGCAAGGGGGTTGAGAGGATTTCTTCTAGGAGCCTCACAGGTTGTGTGGGATGTCCCAGTGTAGGCAGGCTGCACTGTTGCCCCTTTCCCTGTCTTTCATTGACATTGACATCATGTAGGCCCTCATAGCACCACTGCATGCAGAGTCTTGCAAAGGCAATGCTGTTGTGTTAGTTGTGGGCTGGCATTTCCCCCCATCTGGGTATCAAAGGGGGAACTATGAGTAAATTAGAAGCCCCTTCCAATGTCCGTTCTATTTACAAGTGATTCAAAATTTCAAAAACTGTAAGATATATCTTCTCACTGCACAGCCTGCACCATGATTAGCCCAATCAGTTTCTGGGGAAAAAGAAATAACAAGAAAGGTGGGAAAGGAAGGAGCAGTTGTTGCGGCTACAAATGTATGTATGCTATGGAGAAAATAAAATTGAGGAACATGATGAGAGCTCCATGATTAGGACTGTCAAAAGTTTGTTTTGGTCCAACCAAGGTGACAGATGAGGCTTAGGATGAGGGCCTTGTGCCAAGGCCTTCAGGGTTCCACTTCTGCTCTGCTCTGAGTGCTTAGCTGGTCAGTTCTGAAACCAGTTCTCTTAGCTCACCCTAGTGCTAGGGCCTCTTGGTATCTGGCCTCTTGGTCTCCCCCTGGCCACCCATGTACTTCTTTCTAGCACATAAGTCCATCTTGCTGCTCAGATAACCACTCGCGTGCAGATGCAGCAACCAGCCTCCAGCGCACCCTGAAGACCAGGATTCCGGAGTGTTGCAGGATCTCACTCATCTCCACAACTTGCAGGAGTTGGGAGGTTGGGGGAAGTTAAGTACTTTTTTAAAACTTTATTTAGATTGTATATTCTTTTGAGTCAAGCATTTTTCCTAGAGTAGTCCGTTGAAGTTGTTATAGACACAAAGTTGTGAGCCTAAAGGAGGAAAAAGAAGCCTAAGTAAAGTAATAAAAGATTTCTATATACAGATGATGTATCATAGAAATGTACACTTGAAACCTAGATAATCTTATTAATCAATGTCACCCCAATAAATTTAATAGAAAAGGACTTCTATTTCTGGAATTTTGAATTACATTTATTTGCTGCAGTGGATTGAATCCTTATTCAGTTTCCCCTTTTTTTGTATTCCAAAGGAATGAAGTGTCTGGCCAGTGTGGCTCAGAGGTTGAGCATCGACCTAGGATCCAAGTTGCAGTTCAATTCCCAGTCAGGGCACATGCCTGGGTTGAGGGCTCCATCCCTAGTAGGGGGCATGCAGGAGGCAGCCGATCAATGACTTTCTCATCACTGATGTTTCTGTCTCTCTCTCCCTCTCCCTTCCTCTCTCTGAAATCAATAAAAACATATTAAAAAAAAAAAAAAGAATGAAGATAGTATCCTTTTTAGTATGTGTGGGTTAGTGCTTGAATTTCCAGTGACTTAATAAATATTAACCACCCAGTCTAAAAGCCAAGACTTATTTTCTACTCAAAAAGGCCAAATTGTGTTTTGGGAGGTTGGATTAATTTGTGATAGAGTAATTTATTTGGAAAGATGTTCTAGGCTGCCAACTTAAACATGAGATGATAAAATAGATGAACACTTATGTTTAGTAGGAGGTTAGTTGTTGCTTTAATATTCTACTGTAAGAAGTTGTTTACAGCTGAAATAATATTATGTCTGGATTTGCTTCAAAATTTATCTGGATGGGTAAAAAAAGAGGGAAGAGGGAAAGTGAATATGGGTCAGAATGAAACAAGATTGGCTATGTAATAATTGCTAAATTAAGGAGATGGGTGCGTGGATATTAATCACACTATTCTCTCTGCTTTTATTTGTTTAGAGCTTTCCATAATGTAAAGGAAGTGAGCCCAGCTGGCATGGGTCAGTGGCTGAGCATCGACCTATGAACCAGGAGGTCATGGTTCAATTCCAGGTCGGCACAAGTATGGGTTTCGGGCTGCATCCCCAGTAGGGGGTATGCAGGAGGCAGCCAATCAATGACTCTCATCGCTGATGCTGCTCGCTCTCTCTCCCTCTCCGTTCTTTCTGAAATCAACAAAAACATATTTTTAAAAAATTAAAATGAAAGGTAATACTGGGTGTAGTTAATATTTTCTCAAAATATCTGCTGTTTCTTAAATGTATTTTTGTCTTTAGTGATTTTAAAAAAAGAATGTATTTATTACTTGAGCCAGTAATTATTTTCTTTATTTTTGAACTGAAATATTAAAAAAAAAAAATTTGATTAATATTGGAGAAAGAAACCGAAGAACTCCAATCAAAACCTGTTGCTGGAGGAACTGATGATATGAAGGTAATGAAAGAGTTGTGAATATTGCTTTAATTTTTATTTATTTAGAGCAAATGTCTAATGATAAATCAAATTTCCTTGACGCTGTCAGTGTCCTAGAATGTAAGCTATCTGGCTTTCTGCCTCTTCTTTCCACTTCCTTTCTGCCCTTTGATAAGCTTTTAACCTCTCTGGGTGACTGTAAACAGAAAGGTTTAAATGACCTCTGGGTCCCTTCTGTTCTGAAATGAGTATTGTTCTCTGTCTTTTTCATCTAACACACCCTGTTGTTGTGATTGTTGCCTCAATCTCAGTCCTGCTCTTCCCTCTCCCCCTCAGAAAACCCAGCGATGACCAGGACTTTGATGATGAGTTTTGGGCTGATCATTTATATGTCCCTGGACATGAATACTGACCCAAATGTCATAGTTGAATTTCTAACTATTTAGGAAAAAAATCTTTACCCATTTCTCCTGTCCTCTCTTCAACATGAACAAATCCCCCTCCCTGGACAACCAGTGGCAGCATTGTTTTTCAGGCCTTTCAACATTATAGACTCTTCAGCTTTCCTGCCTCTTTTATTCTCTTCATGTGTCAGTCACCAGAATCCTATTGTTTTTTCAAGATGCTGCAGTTTATCCTCTCTCTCCATTCCCATGGCTCTGTGTTAAATGCCTGATGTCATACGTGACTTATTTTAATAACCCCCTAACTAGGTGCTCTTTCTCTTTTTAGTCCTATATCCAATTGCCAAATCACAGAATATTATTTTCATCTTGTTATTCCCTGTTTAAGAACCTGAGTTGCTTATTCTCACATGCCCTTAATGATGACTAAATGCTTTTTCCTTCCCCTACTTGGCTTAACCTTCCTGAAAGTTTCTTTTGCTTCTCAAAGCTCTGCAATAATGTTTTCCCTTGCTTTTTCATATTTATAGTTTGAGTTTTGCAATCTATTCTTTGATAATATATTATGTTACACTATCATTAGGTGGCTGCCAACTCGTGAGTAGTAGACAATTGAAGGACTTCCTGGGAGTTACTATAAGGGGTCTTTAAATTCCTATGCATATCCTGCAATATAATTTTGTTCTTTATTTAGGTAAAATAATACATGAAGTGTGCATGGCATGCACAAATACCATTTGGATTTATAATGTACTAATTTATTTAAGCATTACTGAATTCTTAGTAGTTTTCTTTGTTTACCTGGTCATTATGTGTTTCCTTAATCAGTGCTTGCCAAAGTACAAGTACATGGTACATTAGCTAAGAGTACTGACTCAGGAGCTAGACTGACTGATTCAGATCTTCAGATCTTTGCTCTGCCACTTATCAGCTATGTGACCACAACCAAGTTTCTTAACTTCTTTCTCTGTAACTCAGTTCTTCATCTGTAACCTACAGATAACAATACCTACTTTTCATGGGGTTGTTTTGAGTATTATGAGTAAATACATGCACAGCACTTAGAACTGGGTCTGTCACATAAGTGCTCCATAATTGTTCATTATTGTTATTATCATATATTATTTGTGAGGGATATTTTATACACAAGTATACATGCACACATGCACTCTCACACACACACCAGAAAGAAGTTTTTTTTATTTGAAAAGATAACCACAAAGATTCTTTTCTAATTTTGTATCAGTTAACTCTTAGTCCTTAAAATACTTTTTATACAATTGCATTTCAGAATATGTAAATATTTGTCCCTATTTCCTCCTTATCACCAATCAGTGTATTCTCGCATTCTGTCAAAACTATGCCAAAAGATGGGATTAGAAAATTTCTCTAAGTTATCCAACTTTACTTTTCAGGTTATTAGTTTATTATTAAATCATCTTGTCTAGACCACTCAAGTCCCAGAAAGTAAAGGTTTGGTGAAAGTAAATGATAACACAATCTTTGGTTTTCAGTCATAATGAGAAAATTACTTTAGGGAGTAATTAGAAAAGATGTGCATCAGTTTTTCAGCTGCTATAAGTTAGTTTTTTGTTTTAGAAGAAATCATTTACTGTAGTATAATAGGTCCTCTACACCTCTGGAAAACTGAAAAAAAATTTGTTGTTAAGTTTTCTATCTTTATTTGGAAAACTACACTGGAAAGATATGTGGCTTTAAATACAAAATTATCTGTTCTTCATATAATGTTAAAATTTTATGACTTTTTACAAGTTTCAAAAATTTTTTATTGAATTCATTGGTTAACAAAATTATATAGGTTTCAAGGGCACAGTTCCATAATACATCATCTGTATATTGTGTGTTCACAAACAAACTTGACTCAAAGTCAAGTCTCTTTCCCTCCCCATTTATTCTCCCTTTACCCTCTTTACCTACCCTCACACCCCTTCCCTCTTGTTATCACCATGCTGTTGTCTGTGTCTATGAGTTTTTTCCTTAACCCCTTTGCCTTTTTCTCCCAGCCCCCAAACCCCTCCCCTCTGACAGCTGTCAGCCTGTTTTCTGTATCTGTGATTCATTTTCTATTTTGTTTATTTGTTTGTTTCGTTCATTAGATCCCACATATTAGTGAGATCATATGGTATTTGCCTTTCTCTGACTGGCTTATTTCACTTAGCATAATACTCTCCAGGTCCGCCCATGCTGTGGCAAAGGGTAAGAGTTCTTTCTTTTTAACTGATTTTTAGAGAGAGGAAGAGAGAGAGAAACATCACTGTGAGAGAGAAACACCTATTGGTTGCCTCCTGCATGTGCCCTGACCAGGGATCAACCGGGAATCGAACCCACAACCTGGGTATGTGCCCTGACCAGGAATCAAAACCGCTGCCTTGTGGTGTATGGGACAATGCTCCAACCAACTGAGCCACACCGGCCAGGGCAAGAGTTCCTTATTTTTTTTGCAGCCACATAGTATTCCATTGTGTAAATGAACCACAGCTTTTTAATCCACTCATCTACTGATGGGCACTTGGGCTGTTTCAAGATCTAGGCTATTGTAAATAACACTGATATGAACATAAGAGTGCACATATTCTTTGTGATTGGTGTTTTGGGATTCTTAAGATATATTCCCAGAAGTGGGATCACTGGGTCAAAAGGAGTTCCATTTTTAACATATTGAGGAAACTCCATACTGTTTTTCACAGTGGCTGTCCCAGTTTTCATTCTCATCAACAGTGCACAAGGGTACCCTTTTCTTCACATCCTCGCCAGCACTTGTTTGTTGATCTATTGATGGTAGCCATTCTGACAGGTGTGAGGAGATACCTAATAGTAGTTTTAATTTACATCTCACTGATGATTATTGACATTGAGCATTTTTTCAAATACCTATTGGCTATCTGTATGTCCTCTTTGGAGAAGTATGTATTCTCATTCTTTGCCCATTTTAAAAATTGGATTTTTGCTTCGCTGGGCATGGCCCAGTGGTTGAGCATCAACCTAGGATCCAGGCGATCGGGGTTCGATTTCTGTTCAGGGCACATGCCCAGGTTGTGGGCTCGATCCTCAGCAGGGGGCGTGCAGGAGGCAGCCGATCAATGACGACTCTCTTATCATTGATGTTTCTATCTCTATCTCTCTCTCTCCCTCTCCTTTCCTCTCTCTGAAATCAATAAAGATATATTAAAAAAAAAATTGGATTGTTTGTCTTCCTGGAGTTGAATTGTATG